AATAAATAAAATCTTCAAAAAAAAAAAAAGGAAACGCATTTAAAAAAAAAAATCTTAAAAAACAAAACCATCAAGACAAAACTAACAAGGAAATGATGGCTTTGAACGATGCGTTAGGTCAGATGGACCCAACATATATACACACACACACACACACAACATTCCATCCAAAGCACTAGATTACACATTCTTTTCCAGAGCACATGGAGCATTCTCCAGGACAGATCACATGTCAGGCCACAAAACAAGTCTCAATAAATGTAAGAAGACTGAAATCACATCAAGCAACTCTTCCAACCACAATGGTATGAAACTAGAAATCAATTAGGGGAAAAAAACCCTGGAAAACATAAACACACGAGGCTAAACAACATGCTACTAAGCAACCAATGGGTCAACTAAGAAATCAGAGGAAATAAAAAAAATAGAGAAAATGAAAATGAAAACACAATTGTCTGTCCAAAGTCTTTGAGAGTTGTGGGACACCTGGGTGGCTCAGTCAGTTAAGCGTCTGCCTTTGACTCAGGTCATGATCCCAGGGTTCTGGGATCGACTCCTGCATTGGGCAGGAAGCCTGCTTCTCCCTCTGCCTGTTGCTCCCCCTTCTTGTGCTCTGTCTCTCTCTCTCTTTCTGACAAATAAGTAAAATCTTTAAAAAAAAAAAAAGAGTTGTAAGAGGGAATTTTATAGCGATACAGGCCTACCTCAAGAAACAAGAAAAATCTCAATCTAATCTTATACTTAAAGAAACTAGAAAAAAAGAACAAACAAAGCCTACCAAAGAACCAACAAAATTAGTAGAAGGAAGGAAATAATAAAGATCTGAGCAGAAATAAATGAGAGACTAAAACACACATACAGATCAAGGAAACCAAATGAAACCAAGAGCTGGTTCTTGGAAAACAAAAAATTGATAAACCTTGAGCCAGACCCATCAGGAAAAAGAGAGAAAGAGCAAAGACTTAAATAAAATCAGAAATGAAGGAGGAGAAATAATAACCAACATCACAGAAACACAAAGAATTATAACAAAATACTATGAAAAATTATATTCCAACAAATTGGATAATCTAGAAAAATGGATAAATTCCTGGAAACATAGAATCTTCCAAAACTAAATCAAGAAGAAATAGAAAATTTGAACAGACCAATTACTAGTAACAAAATTGAAATGGTAATAAAAAAACTTCCAACTAACAAAAGTGCAGGACCAGATAGCTTCACAAGTGAATTCTACCAAACATTTAAAGAAGAGTTAATACCTATTCTTTTCAAACTATTCCAAAAAATAGAAGAGGAAGGAAAACTTCCAAATTAATTTTACAAGGCCAGCATTACCCTGATACCAAAATCAGACAGACACTATGAATGAAAGAAAACTACAAGCCAATATCCCTGATGAACAACAAATGTAAAAATCTTCAACAAAATATTAGTACATCAAATTAAATAATACATTGAAGGATCATTCACTATGATCAAGTGGGATTTATTCCGGCAATGCAAGGGTGGGTCAGTATTCACAAATCAATGTGATACATCACATTAACAAGAGGAATGATAAAAACCATATGATCATCTCAATAGATGCAGAAAAAGCATTTGACAAAATACAACATCTGTTTATTATTAAAAAAATCTCAACAAGTGGTTTAGAGGGAACGTATCTCAAGACAATAAAGGTAAACATGAGAACCCACAGCTAACATCAATTTCAATGGTGAAAAACTGAAAGATTTTCTTCTAAGTTCAGGAACAAAACAAGGATGTCTATGATCACCACTTTTATTCAACATAGTACTGGAAGTCTTAGCTACAGCAATCAGACAAGAAAAAGGAATAAAGGCATACAAATTGGTAAGGAAGAAGTAAAACTCTCACTATTTGCACATGACATGATACTATATATAGAAAATCCTATAGACTACCAAAAAACTATTAGAACTAATAAATGAATTCCCTAAAGTTGCAGAATACAAAATTAATATAAAGAAATCTGTTGTGTTTCTATATATCAATAACAAAGTAGCAGATAGACAAGTTGAAAACAATTGCATTTACAATTGCACCAAAAATAATAAAATATCTAGGAATAAATTTAACCAAGGCAGTGAAAGACCTATTCTCTGAAAATTATAAGACACTGATGAAAGAAATTGAAGACAGCACAAATGGAAAGATATATCATGCTCATGGATTGAAAGAATTAATATTGTTAAAATGTCCATACTACCCAAAGCAATCTACAGATTCAATGCAATCCCCAACAAAACACCAACAGCATTTTTCACAGGACTAGAAAAAATAATCCTAAAATTTATGGAACCACAAAAGACTTTGAATATCAAAGCAACCTTGAGAAAGAAAAAAGCTAGAGGTACCACAATCCCAGATTCCAAGATATAGTACAAAGCTATAGTAATCAAAACAATATAGTACTTGGGGCATCTGGCTGGCTTGGTTGGGAGAGCATGCAACTCTTGATTTTGGGGTCATGAGTTCGAGCCCTACGTTGGGTATAGAGATTGCTAAAACAAATACATAAACTGGAAAAAAAAAAACCCAATATAGTACTGGCACAAAATTAGACACATAGATCAGTGGAACAGGATAAAGAGCCCAGAAATAAACCCATGCTTATATGGTCAATTTATCTATGAAAAAGGACACAAGAATATACAATGGGGAAAAGACAGTTTCTTTGATAAATGGTGCTGGGAAAACTGGGCAGCTTCATGCAAAACAATGAAATTGGGTCACTTTCTTACACCATACACAAATACAAAATGAAAATGGGTTAAAGACCTAAATGTGAGAACTGAAACCATAAAGTTCCTAAAAGAAAACATAGGCAATAATTTCTTAGACATTAGCCTTATCAACATATTTATGGATATATCTCCTCAGGGAAGGGAAACAAAAGCAAAAATAAACTATTGGGAATACACCAAAATAAAAAGTTTTTGCACAAAGGAAGCCATCAACAAAATGAAAATATAACCTACTGAATGGGAGAAGATACTTTCAAATGATATATCTGATAAGGAATTAATATCCAAAATATATAAAGAACTTATAAAACACAACACCAAAAAAACCAATCTGATTAAAAAATGCATAGACATTTTTCCAAAGAGGACATAGAAATGGCCAACAGACACATGAAAAGATGCTCAACATCACTGATCATCAGGGAAATGCAAACCAAAACAACAATAAGGTATCACCTCACACCCGTCAGAATGGCTAGTATCAAAAAGACAAGAAATAGGGCGCCTGGGTGGCTCAGTTGGTTAGGCGACTGCCTTCGGCTCAGGTCATGATCCTGGAGTCCCGGGATCGAGTCCTGCATCGGGCTCCCTGCTCGGCAGGGAGTCTGCTTCTCCCTCTGACCCTCCTCCCTCTCATGCTCTCTGTCTCTCATTCTCTCTGTCTCAAATAAATAAATAAAATCTTTAAAAAAAAAAAAAAACAAGAAATAACAAGTACTGGGAGGATGTGGAGAAAAGGGAGCGTGTAAATTGGTGCAGCCATTGGGGAAAACAGTATAGAGGCTCCTGAAAAAATGAAAAATAGAAATGCCATACAATCCAGTAATTCCACTACTAGGTATTTACCCAAAGAAAATGAAAACACTAATTCAAAAAGATATATGCATTATATTTACTGCAGGATTATTTACAATAGCCAAGATATGGAAGCAACAAAAGCGCCCATTGATAGATGAATGGATGAAGAAAATGTGATATCTATATATACCTATGTATTGCTTCATTCTTTACCCGTTCATTTATCTATCTATCTATCTATCTATCTATCCACAATGGAATATTACTCAGCCATAAAAAAGAAAAATCTTGCCATTTTCGACCACATGGATGGAGCTAGAGGGTATTTGCTAAGTGAAATAAGTCAGACAAAGAGAGACCAATACCATATTATTTCACTTATATGTGGAACCTTGAAAAACAAAATGAAACAAACAAAAGCAGAAACAGACCCATAAATGCAGAAGACAAACTAATGGTTGCCAGAAGGAAGGTGGGTGGAGAGATGGGTGAAATAGGTGAAGAAATTAAGAGAGGCAAACTTCCAATTATAAAATAAATTAGTCACAGGCATGAAAAATGCAGCATCGGGAAGAGAGCCAATACTACTGTCATAACGTATGGTGACAGCTGTTGACTACACTTACTGTGGTGAACAGAGTATAGGATTGTCAAATCGCTATGCTGTACACCTGAAATGAATAGAACACTGCATGTCAACTACACTTCAAAAGCACTAATAAAAAGAATAACCTTTCTTCCCTGAACCTAGCCTTTCCCTGTGTTTCAGAGACGGACACCATCCTGGCATCCATCCCCTATACCCAGCTTCTCTCTCATTCCTTTATGACTGTCTCACTACCACTCTATCACCTTCCCTGCAGAACTAGACTTCAAGAGTCAGCATTTACTATCTTCATTTCTTCCCCCTTTCCGTCCCCTCTTTAGCCACTGCAGTCTGGCCTCTTTCTCAAGCAAGCACTGAAACTTCTCTTGCTGGTGACCAATGATCTTTATTTAAGCTAGGTTAGGTGGATCTTTTCCAGACCCGATCTTATTTGATCTCTGCATTTTCTGGCACCATGATTCTGATTCTCTCAAATGTTCTCTCCATGCTCTGTGGGTCCAGCTCCTCCTGGTTTTCCTCCTGCCTCTAGCTGTTACTGCTCAGCTCCCTTGTCAGCTCTACTTTCTCCCTCTGCCCCTTAGACAGTGCATTCTCCAGGGGTTTCGTTTCTGTTTTTCGTATTCTCATTCACTGGATGAGCTTATTCCTTCCTATGGCTTCGACCACCACATGGATACTGCGGCTTCCAGATACACATCTTCAACCTAGAACTCTCAACCATGTTGCCTGCTACTCATCTCCACTTCAATGTCCCACAGGCACCACAAAAGCAACATCTACATAACTGATCTGAACATCTTTCTCCCAAACCTGCTTCCCCCTGGATGCCTCCATTCAGTAAATGGTATCAATCAAGCCCTCGGAAACCTAGGAGCTATCCTAGACTTGTCCCTTCTCTTGGGCCCATATCCAGCCACAAAGTTTCATCAGTCCTGCCCTTGGCAACTTTTTCACATCTACCCCTCATTGCCATCCCCTGCTTTAGATCCATTATTTCTCCTGGAGATTGCTGCCCTCTGAGGCTCCTGCCTCCTTGCTGATTCCTCTTGTCCCCACTCCCGTTCTATCCAATCTACTGCCATTGTGCTTTCTAAGACACCCATTGATTGTGTCACTCTAGTGCTTAAAATCCTGACATGATCCCCCAGCATCTCCAGGATAGAATCCTAGCTCACTAGCATGGTGTACACAGCACACCCAGCCCAACAAGGTGACTCCAGCTTCTGGCCTCTCCCCTCCTCCATCTCACATTGATGCTCCAGCCATTCTGGACTCTTTGGCCCCAAACAGGCCACTCTTTCTCTCCTTTCCATGTATGTGCACCTGCTGCCACCGTGCCTTGAATGTCTGGCTCTTGTTTCCTTCTTTCTAACTCACATTCCACCTCCTCCCTCACCTGGCTCAGCTAACTCATATTCGGATGTGAAAACTCACCTGCTCTGGGAAGCTTTCCTTTAAGCTCCCAGTTCTCCTGACACACGATGTATAACTCTGTCACAACACATATGCTATTGTGCGAGCATTTTTGCTGCTACTGTTGTCAGCTTTTCTACTAGAGTTTCTCTAAAGCAGGAGCCATATCTAACTCCTCTCTACATCCTCAATGTTGGGCAGAGTGCCCGGCATATAGTAAATGATAAATGTTGAATAAACAAAAGGAAGCTCTTTGATTCTTTTATCAAGCCACAATTACTATTGAATTCACCTTATTTTGCACCATTTCAAGCATCCCAAATACTTCTGCCAGAAAAAAAAGATCATCTAAATTCCTCAAATCGCTGACACACATACAAAAACACATTCCAGCATTAACCAAAAGACAGAGGTGGTGTGAGGGCAGATGTATAAAGCATGATCAGGTGGCTTCCAGACCATTCTCTCCCATTCCATATCTCATATCTTTTCAGAGAACAGATTTCCAAACAGGGCAAAGGGTGGCTTGGTGGGACCTGGGCCTGATTAATCCACATTATACCAAGCATCGCTTTGCGCAGCGAGAGCCCCTTGTTCCTCTGGGCTAGAGCTCAACTTCCCTCTCCTCAAAAGCATCTCTGAAACGTTAGCGGATCTGAATATGGAGCCAAGGAGGCAGCCAGAAAACAAACTTCTCCGGTACCTGAGTCAGTGTCCTCACCAGAGTGCTTTAAGTTACCATCTCTGCCCATCACGCCAACAGAAAGAAGAGTGCCATCGACCTTGGTGGGAATCTACGCCAGAAAGCACAGTACCTTGGAAGCCCGGAGTTTTCCCAGGAAGGTATCATCGTTATCCAACGTAGGGTGCTGGAAGGGGTCTCGGGTGAAAGGCATGGTAAAATGCGGAGTGAGCCGCTGGTGTGAGGGATGGGAAACCCGCGCAGCCGCACACAACGCACGCGAAGGATCCCGGGTCCCAATTGTTTGGAACGCCCAGTTTCGGTTGCCCGGCAACTCTCCCGCCATCTGTGACTGAGGTGGATTCCCTTCGAGAAGGGCGCCACCTGGCGGTCCAGCGCGGGAGACCCCTCGGAAGGAAGCTCCGGGGAACGCAGAGGGGAAAGCGCTATCGAGCGTACCAGGGAGCCCGGCATTTGCCCTTGGGAGCCTTAGTTGAAAAACGTCGGCCTCCCGGCGTACAGGACTTCTGCAAAAGACTTCAGCTGAGTAAAGAAGTCCTAAAAGATGGCCCAGGAATTTCCTTCTCCCTCGCATCTAACGAAAGAATTTTTCAAAGCAACGAGAGAATGAGGATGTTAAGAGACGGAAGAGCCCAGGTGTCGTGCTTGGAAAATTGCAGGCTAACGCAAACCCTCCTTGCCTAAACTCGGTTTAACTATGCCAGTCTTAAGGCTTCGCATAGAGCCGTTTGTAAAGGCACGGGTGGATTTGGCGGGATGGAAGTAAGATCTCCAGAAGCGGCTGTTGCAGTAGGTAACATCTACCGGGGCCACTCTTCCAGGCTATAACTTCTGGAGGTGAGACGGCGTCTCAATCTTCCTTCTATCGCTGCGCACAAAGGAGGTGCTAAATAAGTATTGTCGAACGCCACGCCTGCAAAATTAGAGATGCTCACAAATGGCCCATGACCCGAAAGAGCAATGGAAAACGTGAATTTGGTGGCGTTGGCTTGGAGGATGTTTCTACTGCGTTCTTTACACGACCCCTGTGCCCGCCTGTTGGGCCGGTTGCAGACCCCGGGCGCGCGCAGTTACACGCGGCGCGCGTCAGCGGCTGCGGCTGCCATGGCGACCGGCAGGTAAGCGGCAGAGGCGCGCGTGGTCCCTGACCCATCCGCGCGGAGGGAAAGAGGAGGCGGTTGCCAAGGCGACGTGGGTAGGAGGAGAAGAGGAAGGAGAAGGAGGGAGGAGGAAGGATGGGCGGCCTTGGCGTAGCCGCAGGGAGGTGACTGAAGCGAGCCCAGCCCCTTGCATCCTCCCCCTGTGAACCTCCCTCCCCTTTTTTTCCGCCTTCTGCCAGCAGTAGCCGCGGCCGCAGCACCTGAGCCGCTGCTGGCGCTCGCTCAGGACGACGCTATGGCTGAGCCGGGGCGCAGCCTCCATCCCTCTGCCCGAGGCAGGGGACGAACTGAGCGGCGCACACTCCGGCTTCTGCGGCTGCTGCTCTGGGTTGGGACCGCCTTTCAGGTGACCCAGGGAGCGGGACCGGAGCTTCACGCCTGCAAAGAGGTACTGTCTTCCCCGGCCCGCCCCACTTTGGTCAGAGAAATCTTGGATCCTGGCGGAGATCTTGGGAACCCAGGCACAGACAGTTTCAGAGGCCACGGAGTTTAGGTTTCTTCGGGGATGAGGCGTTATGGGGGGGGGGCGGGAAGAGGAGCAGACTGGCGTCATGGGGAGGCCAGCGCACTGGAGGACTCACGAAACAGATCATCCGCACAGCCTGGGCTGCTGAGCTCAGAGGGGAAGGTCCCAGCTCCAAGGAGCCCAGGAGGCACCTGGGTCCCGGGGCTCGGGAATGAAGGAAGAAGACTTGGGTTGTCTTCCTGCTGCAATGGAATTACCTTAAAAGTAGCTGAAAATAAAAGATTATGTACAGAGGGGCAAATCAGAAAGCGAGAGGGGAAAACGGGGTAAGAAAGGAGTTAGGAAGGCCAGAGGAAAGTAGGGGAGCAAAGTGGGAATCCTTGTGGTTTTATCATGGTTTCAAAAAAAGAGTGTGAAGGTGGGAAATATGCCAGGGGGACTGAAGGAACGCATCACCTCTCTCTCCCCCTCCTTGTTAAACATCCAGTTACCTTGCGGGCTGCTAAGTGCTTTGCCTCCCCCAGTGCGCTTTGTTTAGTGTACCTGACAGCCCACAACCCCTCTGACCAGACTTGGAGTCTGTAATATCTCGCTTTCCGCCAGTCTCTACTTTCCTTCTCTGGACTTCTGCTGACATATGTCATGAGTCTTTTTCAAGGTGTTTCGAAAAGGTTGCCAACACAATTCACACAATACGTAGTGAATGTCTTCCAAATGAAAATTCTTTGAGCATTCTTTTTGGAGGGAGACACAAAGGTATTAAGGAGTAACAAAACTCAGTAGTTTCTATAGTGTTGAAATAACATTATTTGGTTGTTCTCTGGTAACCTTTTTTAACCATATGGCGGAGGCAGCAACAAAATACAAGAACTGCATTGGGGAAGGTAAAATAATAAGAGTTGTTCTGGTGCTCGCTTCGGCAGCACATATACTAAAATAAGAGTTGTTCTGTTATCTCTGTGAGATGTGAAAGATTTCATAATACACCAAGAGTCTAGCCCTGTAAAAAGGATCTCCAGTGTCATACTGGGCTAGGGTTTTGAGAGATTGAAATACTTTTTGTAAGTTGTCAGTGTTCACTGATTAGTAACAACAACCCCCTCTCACAAGGAACTATGTTATTATGAAGGTGCTCTATCCATTAGACTGTCTACAACATAACAGATCATGAAGAAGTGAAGGGTGAGGGGAAAGAGAGATAAGTTTTTACTTTATTCATGAATATGACACAAGTGATCCCAGTCAGTGGCACTTTTGATAACTTTTTATCAGTTCCAATGATGACCTGCCCTGGACCGTCTACATTTCCACTCAGCCACTTTATGAACTGGTTTTTTTTTAAAGATTTTATTTATTTATTTGAGAAAGAGTGCACACGCACAAGAGCAGGTGGAGGGGCAGTGGGAGAGGGAGTAGCAGACTCCCTGCTGAGCAGGGAGCCTGCCATGGGCTCGATCCCAGGACGCTGAGATCATGACCTGAGCCAAAAGCAGATGCTTAACCAACTGAGCTACACAGGCGCTCCTTTATCACCTGTTTTAAAGATGGCTAGGAAGGGGATGATCTTCTCAGTGACTGTGGCTTACTGGCCTTGGTGGTGTGTGGCCTAACCAACTGAGATACCTAGTTCAAGCAAGCGCCCTTGCCTAAGAATCCAACATGGGAGTCTCCTGAGTGGAAGGTAAGAATCTTACAGTTCCACTACTGCTTCTTGGTGAGATCTTGTCAACTCTGGAAAATGTGAGACATTTAAGAAATTAAATACTTTGTATCATCTTGGTTTGGAGGGAAGGAAGAATACTGATGCTTGAGAACTCTAACCTGGGCACAAATTTTGCATTTAGTCCTTTTTAAATGGCTGACATTTGCCTAAGCAAAAGATCTTACTGCAGAGCATGAGCTTAGGGCAGTGGAAATCTGTGCAACTCAACATAACAGGGTTCTAGTCCCTGCCTGTTATTTACCACACAGTTTTTGGATCTGCACAATGGGTGTTTCAATAACATCTACCTAAAAAGGATTGCTTTGAGTATTGAAAGAGGAAATTAAAACACACACACACACACACACACAAAACACAAAAGCAAACACAAATTAGTTACCTAACCCCCTTTCTTGTTCAGCTTCCTTACCATTAGATCCATACCCCATGCCAGAGTCAAAGTGGCTTAGGAGTCATGCTCATTGGCCACAGGCATCAGCAAGTCCTGTTTAGACTCTCCTTGAGCAAACAGTGGCTGCTGGACACCCTTGACTCCAAATAATAAGGAAAAGAATAAACCCATTGTTACAATAGTCTTCATTTGGCAGTATGAACCGACTCAACAAGGTTGGGGGCTTCCAACCCTAAATGGTGAAAAATCAATTCAGGGTAGACTAACCCTTCTCTATTCTTAATCTTCATATGAATTTCTTGTGAGTCCATGTTGGGTATTATTGGCAGGGACTCTCACCAGGTCAATCTGATTTGACAACAATGCTGTTCCAGCCTTGTTTCTGAAATCTGAGGTACCCCTCTGGATCTAATCAGGAAAAAAAAAAAAGTTTTAACATGAGGCCTAAACTGAGGTGGCAGAGAACAGGGAGTTCTAGATTGCTAAACCTGTGCTGGGGTGTGGCATGCCTTCGCTTTCACAATTTTACAATAATCAAGGTCACCAGTGGAACTAAGCATCCTGTATGGTATTTGTTTTCATGAATCATTTCTTTAGCTTTGTGCTAGCCTGGGCCAGAGGCTGACTGAGAGCCAAAGGAGCATTTCCTATAGCACAATGAATATACATCAAATGAGAGAGGAGCAGAAAACCTTCTTTAACAGATCTGCCTTGTCCTGAGGCTCCACAGCTAATTGCCCCCAAAGGGACTTCCCAGTCTATACTGAAAAGTCCATAGGGCTTGGGAATCTGGCATACATGGATTGTAATAAAATGGGATGAGTGAGTGATGATTGCCACTTAGTAAGGATGCTACTTCGAACAAGTTAATTGGCTTCTTGCAGCCTCAGGTGCCTGATCTGTAAAATGGGGATGGTAATACTCATTATTATTCTTACTCTTACAAGGCTGTTGTGAGGATTAAATTAAGTGAGATAACACATGCAAAGTGCCTAGTGCATACCCTTGACATATTACAGGTGTTTAAGAAATACTGGTAGGCAGAAAAAGTAAGTACACAAATAAGGATATATAAATGATAACACAGAGTTAACATATGGTAAGCAATGCAGAAATGGCAATACAGAATTGAATAGGAGAGGAAGAAAACATTTGAACAGTTGGCGCTTGACCTAGTTCTGGAATAATCAGTAGGACTGCAATGGGCGGAGATGGATTAGATAGAGGGGGGGAGCCTGCAGAAAGTTCCACAAGGAAAATGCAAGGGACCCTGGGAATTGCAAGTAGACCCGGCAGCTGAAATGTGAAGTAGGTGTGAGTACAATAGGAGATAAGGTTGGAATGTGGAGTAGGTGTGGGGGACAATAGAAATCAAGGCTGGAAATTTAGAAATCCGAAGTGGAGAATCCCTAAAGGATTTCTGGCAGAGATAGCGGCCTGCTCAGAGTGGATTAGCATGAATGAAAAAGTAAACATGGTTGAGGAAGGCTGGAAGGTGAGAGAGGGAGAGGAGATGGGGTCAAGGAGACCAGTCAAGGAGGAGGCTTGCAGAGGGACTGTACTGGCTGGTGGCAGTGGGACACATGGAGAGGTGTAGATATGAAAAATACGCTGAAGGTAGGGGTTAGAGGGTTTGGCAACTGACTGTAAGTGTAGGGTGAAGGAGAGGGGCAAGCCAAGGGTTTTGGTTAGGGTTTTCGAGTGGGTGTGGGAGATGCAGAAAGAATAGCTTTAGGAGCAGAGTGATGGCCTTTCACAGTTCTGGGATCAGCCCCTCTACCAGGAGGGAGAAAGTCCTGAGATCCCGGCATGATACTTTATAGCATGATCATAGCTTCGGGGCTTTTATGTTTCCTCCTGTATTTGCTTCTAACTCATTATTCAAGGTTTGAACTCCACAGGGAAATGAGTAGATCTAGAAAACATTCAGGACCCCTGAGCTTTCATGAAATATTTCACCAAAAGTCTAGGATTTAAAGTGACTGCAGGGGGGCATCTGGGAGGCTCAGTCGGTTGAGCTTCCGGCTCTTGGTTTCCGCTTGGTCATGATCTCAGGGTTGTGGGATTGAGCCCCTGCATCTGGATCCACACTCAGCGGGGAGTCTGCTTGAGATTCTCTCCCTCACCCTTTGCCCCTCCCCCTGCTCTCTCGCGCTGTCTAAAATAAATAAATACATCTTTAAAAAAATTAAAAAACAAAGTGACTTGGGGCACCTGGCTGCTCAGAGGAGCGTGCGATTCTTGATCTTGGGGTCGTTAGTTTGAGCCCCACATTGGGTGTAAAGCTTACTTAAATAAAAATTTAAAAACTTAAAAAAAAAAAAAGATTTGAAGTGACTCCTTTGGTTGGGAATCACCAAGGTTGGATGTTTAAAACATCCTGCCATATTTGGTGGAGAGGGGAAATTGAAAGTCTCTTTTTGTCATGAAGTACTCTTTTTTTTTTTTTAAGATTATTTATTTATTTGAGAAAGAGAGAGAGAACAAGTGGGGGGAGGGGCAGAAGGAGAGGGAGAAGCAGACTCCCCGCTGAGCAGGGAGCCCTCCTGGGGCCTCTATCCCAGGACCCTGGGATCATGACCTGAGCCGAAGGCAGATGCTTAACCAACTGAGCCACCCAGGTGTCTCTCACTAAGTACTCTTGTAGGGTTACAAGATGTACTGGTTTTGGTTGATAGAAGAGGGGGCTAAGGAGTAATAGATTTTTGAGATCTGAAGACATTTGGGAAGTCATTTTGTCTATTCTCCTGTCTCAAGGTAGGAGTATACTAAAACTGAACCAGACTGATCATTATCTACCTTACCTTA